CTCAAAAAAAAAAAAAAAAAAGAAAAAGAAAAAAGGAAACTGCTATAAAATAATCAAAACAAATAAATAATAAAATCAGAAGAAAAAAGTAAATATTTCAGTGTTCCACAGACTCTTACAATGTAATTCAAACTGAGCTGTAATTTCAGTGCACTTATTCTTTTAATGAATGTGCAGATAATTGGTTTAATTTTCCATTCAATAAATTTTTCTTATAAAGATGAAGGAAGATAGCCAGGCACGGTGGCTCATGCCTGTAATTCCAGCACTTTGGGAGGCTGAGGCGGTTGGATCACAAGGTCAGGAGTTCGAGAGCAGTCTGGCCAACATGGTGAAGCCCCATCTCTACTAAAAATATAAAAATTAGCTGGGCGTGGTGGCGGGTGCCTTTAATCCCAGCTACTTGGGAGACTGAGGGAGAAGAATTGTTTGAACCCAGGAGGTGGAGGTTACAGTGAGCTGAGGTCGTGCCATTGCACTCCAGCCTGGGCAACAGGGAGAGACTCTATCTCAAAAAGAAAAAAGATGAAAGAAGAAGATTAAATATAGTGCAGATTAAACAACATGAACAACTTGTCCCCTGAAGTATGTTAATATATAATTAGATTTTATTATTTAGGCAAGGATTTCCTAATGGAGCACATTTCTGAAATGATGAAAATTATTAGGATATATAATTAGACATTTTTTCACTCTACTTACTATTTTTGAAGACAATATCTAGTCACTAAATTGAAGGTGAGGTATAATTTATTAATAGAATTAACACCAGTTGAGATCATTTATGTTTCTTGACTTCCCTTGGCCTCTATTTTTCTCTTTATAAATAAAGGGGTAGGTCCAGATGCCCTTTAAAATATTCCAGCTAGGAATTCACTTAGTTATTTACTTCAAAGTTCTTAAGAAATAGTTTCAATTATACGACAAAGTATGGCTTTTTCCTTTTTTTAAAGAGATTCTTTTTATCAGTATTTTAAAACCTCAAGGGATTCTAGTGCAAGTTTCAGACATTATGGAGGAAAAAAGAAAAAAGGAACAAAACTCAGATTTAAAGCCAACAGTGGCAGAACCCAGAAATCTCTCAGCTTGGTTCTGTCTTCAAGGCCAGTTGTCTACTATTGCAAGGCAAGATATTCTTCAAATGACCTAAACCTACAACAAAGTCTCACATAAGTAGCAAGCAAAACGTGGAAAATCATGGTTACATAGATTTTAATCTTTAAAATATTACTTGAATAGACTCATTTTTCAATTAGAAATTTTTATTTTTATTTATTTATTTTTTTTGAGACGGAGTTTCGCTCTTGTTACCCAGGCTGGAGTGCAATGGCGCGATCTCGGCTCACTGCAACCTCCGCCTCCTGGGTTCAGGCAATTCTCCCGCCTCAGCCTCCTGAGCAGCTGGGATTACAGGCACGCGCCACCATGCCCAGCTAATTTTTTGTAGCTTTAGTAGAGACGGGGTTTCACCGTGTTGACCAGGATGGTCTCGATCTCTTGACCTCGTGATCCACCCGCCTCGGCCTCCCAAAGTGCTGGGATTACAGGCTTGAGCCACCGCGTCCGGCTCAATTAGAAATATTAAGAGTTGGAAAATGTCGAAAATACTAGGAATTCTTTTTTTTTTTTTTTTTTTTGAGATGGAGTCTCACCCTGTTGCCCAGGCTGGAGTGCAATAGTACGATCTCAGCTCACTGCAACCTCTGCCTCCCAGGTTCAAGCGATTCTCCTGCCTCAACCTCCCAAGTAGCTGGGATTACAGGCGTGGAACAATGTTTTTTAAAGTACATAACCTTACCAATATATAATTTTGGAAATATTTACACTACTTTCATATAGGTTTTGCATATTTTTAAAAACTGATTGTAAATCATACTGTGTAAATATGTAAGTTTTAAATACTGATTTCACTTAATATGTCAAAGCTTAGCATCTGATCTTCAAAAATAATTTAAAATGTATAATATATATGGACAAACACTAAATGGTGAATATTTAGTTTGAGTCTAACAGTGTTTTTAACAGATCATACTGAAATAAACATCTTTTGCTTTTTTCTGTGTGGATTATTTCATTTGCATCAATTCCTGATGTGAACATTTTTATATTTGATATGTATTGCTGAATTGCTTTCCAAGAGTCGCATAAAATTATGATACCAATGATGACCAAGGGTGCTTGTTTTACCTGACCTTACTGTTACCAGTTCTGCAGTATTTTATTTACTTTATTTTTTGTTAATTTGATAGAGCAATAAAAATCTAAGATGTTCATTTGCTAATAGCATCAAGGTTGAACATTTTCCTTTATATTTTTTACTGAGTATTCCTTCATGTCCCATTTCCTTTAACTATATTATTAAATATCATTCTTTTCAAAAACCCATTTGTATGAGCTTTTCACACAGATGCTATTTCTTCTTATGCCTTATTAAAAATGTTTTCCCAGTTTGTTGTTTCTCTTTTGATCACCTATACAGTTTTTTTTTTAAGCTTTTTACATTGTACTAGGAGCAACCATGTCACAGAATGTAAAGATTACATTTATTCTCTTAACTGAGAATCCTCTTGGGGCATCAGAGAAGAAAAATTACTACTTTTCAGTAGTTACACACAAATAAAATGTCTTTTTTCCAAATGAAGATTTTAGCCCTGGGATAGTAATATTCCAATGCACAATATTATCTTTTAAATAACAAAAACAGAACCATAACAAAATGAAAAGGCATTATAAAGAAAAACTGTGTTTCAACCCATTATCTCTGATTTTCATGTATATATTTAAAAATAGTTATATTTAAAAGTTTGAATTATGTCCTGAAATACTACAGGGAAAATAAGAAAAAAAAGTTTGAATTATGAAAATATATTTATAATATTTACAATTATAATTGCTGCATAATACTTTGAGTTAAATTATTGCAATTTACCTCTCCCACATAACTTTCTAAGGTAAATGCTGAAAACATCTTCATAATAAGGCACAAGCTTATTTTACTTATTGCTATCACAATCTAGTTTAAAAAACAAGGCTGGCCAGGCACAGTGGCTCACACCTGTAAAACCAGCACTTTGGCAGGCCAAGGCAGGTAGATCATGAGGTCCGGAGTTTGAGACCAGCCTGGCCAATATGGTGAAACCCCGTCTTTACTAAAAATATAAAAATTAGCTTGGCGTGGTGGCGCGTGCCTATATTCCCAGCTACTTGGGAGACTAAGGTAGGAGAATCACTTGAACCTGGGAGGCAGAGGTTGCAGTGGCTACTCAGGAGGCTGAGGCAGGAGAATCACTTGAACCTGGGAGGTGGAGGTTGCAGTGAGCTGAGATTGTGCCACTGATTCCAGCATGACAAAGCAAAACTCAGTCTAAACAAAACCCACAAGACTACCCTGTTCTCTATTAGGAACACATAGTGATTACGCACCTATATCACAGAAATTAAAGTCAGTTGATTCAACTGGCATATACTGACTGCCCTATATATAAAATCCTGACAATGCAGAGGAAGAGGGATGTAATGTGGTCAAGAAGGTCTTTTCTATTGGCCAAAATTCAAAACAGTTTCAAGTATGGCAATAATGATAACATGTAAAGTGAAGAAAACAGAATACAAAATTGTTTACACTGCATAATTAAAATTAGGTAATTTAAAAACCCTATATGTTAGAGAAGATTGGAAAGAAAATTACCAGAATGTTAATTAAACATTTCCAGGTGCAGGTACAATAATATGGGATAATACTTTTCTTTTTACCTACTGTTTTCAAATTTGTCTGATTGACTGTATGACTTTTTAGTATAAAAAGTACTCATTCTATATATTTTATAACAATAGTGATCTGTGGGCTGGGCATGGTGGCTCATACCTGTAACCCCAGCATTCTGGGTGGCCAAGACGGTTGGATCATTTGAGGCCAGGAGTTTGAGACCAGCCTGACCAACGCAGTCAAACTATCTCTACTAAAAAATGCAAAAATTAGCTGGGCATGGTGGTGGGCACCTGTAATCTCAGCTACTAGGGAAGTTGAGGCAAGAGAATCACTTGAACCCAGGAGGTGGAGGTTGCAGTGAGTCAACATTGCATCACTGCACTCCAGCCTGGGTGACAGAGTGAGACCCCACCTCAAAAAAAAAAAAGGCATAGTGATCTGTAAGAGGTATATATATTTGTTTTTACGTGTTCTACATAGTAGAAACTCTATAATGGATGAAATTACTTCATTTGAAGTAAGTGTCCTAAAGCCACTAATTTCATCTTTGGGGAATGGTATTTTTTCTATTAAGAAAAACAATTCCTCTTACTACCTTCTGAGAACTTCTTTCATCCTCATCTTCAGATGGATCCGACTGGTGTTTTGGACTATCCATTTGAAGGAATGCTCTGACATCTGGACTAAAAACAAAAACTAACTTTATTATCACTTCAACAGCATTTCTACAGCCTTTGTCCCTTTTAAAATGAAAATTGAAACAGAAATAACTATATTAGCATTTACAGTAAGAAAGTAAAACCGAATCCATTAATATTCATTATTATAAAAGTAATAAGCAAATTGTTTTTTTTAAAAAGAGAAACCAAAGACAAATGGGCAAAGATTATCAACAGGCAGTTCATGGAAGAGAAAACCCAAATGGCAAGCAAATTTGTGAAGATGGCCATAAATTCACTAATAATCAGAGAAATATAAGTTAAAATGATAATGAGATATCATGTTATGTCCATTATCTGGCAAAAGTTAGAAAAACAGGTAATATCAAAAGTTGGTAAGAAAATTGGGAAAGAGACATGCTCAAATATTGGTGACAATGCAGAATGAAGCAACTTCTCTGAAATGCAATCTGGCAATACTTGGTAAAACTGTGTATGCATTTTCCCTGGGCCCAGAAATTCCAATTTTAGGGGTAAACCATAGAAAAAATTACGTGCAGGTCCAGCGAAAGGCATGTAACTATGATGCTCATTGTAGCATTTTCTGTAACAGTGAATTAGAAGCAACATAGGCATCTACCACCAGGGAAATAAGTTAACTATGGTAACTGCCTACAGGGAATACCAGTCAGCAGCAAGAAGCAAGAAACTATAGCATAGCACCATTTATATATACATTAAATACTCAGAGACACGAAGCATCAGCCTGTTTACTAAAGACACACAGATATCTAAGGACATATATCAAACATATTAAAGTGGGTATCAAGAGGGGGGATGAAGAAATGGCTATGAAGATCAAGGATGAAGAGAAAAAAATGGACTAAAATTAGAGATGGGCCACACATGAACTCCTGACCAGTGTGGGAAATCATTAAATCTCCATACCTGGCACCCTCTCCCCAGTTTGTTCTTAATTATTTAATCAAATAATATACATTCTTCATAGGAAACTCAAAAGATGAAAAATTATTTTTAAAAAGAGGAGGCCTTAGCCAGGAGTGCTGGCTCATGCCTGTAATCCCAATACTCTGTGAGGCTTAGGTGGGAGGATAACTTGAGGCCAGGAGTTAGATACCAGCCTGGGTAACACAGCAAGACTCTGTCTCCACAAAAAATAAAAATAGAAAAACTCAGGAATGATGGTGTGCACCTGTTATCCTAGCTACTCAGGAGGCTGAGGCAGGAGGATCACTTGAGCACAGGAGGCTGAGGCTGCAGTGAACCAAGATTGCACCACTGCATTCCAGCCTGGGTGACAAAGAAAGAACTTGTCTCTAAAAGTAAAAAAAACAAAATAGGAAAAAAATAAATATAAAAAGAGTTGAGCCAGTGTAAATGTAAAACAGTATTGTCACTGTGGAAAAGAGTTTGGCTGTTCCTTAAAAAATTAAATACAGAGTTACCTTATGACCCAGCAATTCCAAACCTAGGCAAAGACCCAAAAGAAATAAAAACATATGTTCACATAAAAACTCACACATGATTCCTCATAGCAGCATTATTCATAATAGCCAAAAAGTGGAAATATCCCAAATGTCCACCAATAGATGAATGGATAAACAAAATGTGGTGTTACCCCCACAATGGACTATTATTCAGCCATAAAAAGGAATGGAGAGCACTAACACATGCTATAACATGAATGAACCTCAAAAACATTATTCTAAGTGAACAAAGGCAAAAAAATAAAGTCACCTACTGTATAATTTCATTTTGATATGCAAATCCATACAGACAGAAAGTAGAACAGTGGTTGTCAAGGGTTGGGGGAAGAGAGAATTTAGAGGTACAGTTTTTTTTTTAGGGGGATGAAAATGTCAGATTAGATTTGGGGTGACAGAATTAGTGATGATGGTTTTTTTTTTTATTACATAAATTTATTTTATATCCCACAATTAAAAGACAAATAAATTACCAAAAATACTAACAGAAAGTACAATAAAAGATAATTTTAACTATGTAAAGAAATCATACAAATGGACAGAAAAATGCTCAAGCTCCAAGACATATGTACAGATGATTCACCAATACATTTTAAAATGTTGTGGAAAATGTTCAACTTCATTAGTAAACAAAAGTAGAAACTTAAAACAATTAGATATCATCTATTACTTATTAAATTATTAAGGAGTTTTTAAAATTTTGGTTTTTAGTTCTTATAAAGATGTGCAGTAACACTTTCTCTCCACTCCTTTTTCCATCCTTGGGGAACTCTGATGACTTGATATTTCTAGCCTTTCTATAACAGATTCCTTTTGTTTTTTTTTTTGTTGTTGTTGTTGTTTTTTTTGAGACGGAGTTTCACTCTTGTTACCCAGGCTGGAGTGCAATGGCGCGATCTTGGCTCACCGCAAC